GTCCCATTTGACCCAATCCCTCTAAACCTTTCGTATTCATATACCCATCCAGGTGCCTTTTAGATGTTGGTACTGTACCCGCCTCCACCACTTCCTCTGGCAGCTCGTTCCGTACACACACCACCCTCTGGGTGAAACTCAGTATGATTCTTCTTCAGAATTGTAAGGGGCTGGAAAATAGAAGTGTTTAATAATGTTGACAGAGGAGGAGGAAGAGTAAGTGGTATATGGTTAAATCCATGTGGTTAAATCATACCATACACTGCCATATTACAGAATTTAACGAAATCGTACAACTATCCATTGTCTCTACCTAATAGCTAAGGAACAATAAAAAGAGTTATAGACCTCTCTTATACAACTGCTGAATGACAATTGCTAAATACGAAGTGTTTAGAGGGATATGGACCAAATGCTGGCAAATGGGACTAGAGTCATTTAGGGTATTGGTTGACATGGGTGAGTTAGACTGAAGAGTCTGTTGCCATTCTGTACATCTCTATGATTCTATGATATAGGTGTGATAGAAGTCACTTCAAAGTGTGTTGACATTTTAGCAATGTTTGTGTGATGATATATATGACATGACCTCTGATCTGACTTAAAATAAGTTGAACTCTTCCTGTAACAAGTAATGCAACATCACTTGCTGATTCAAGCTATTTGATGGAGGAACTTTCCGAGGAAGGGTCACCGGACCCGAAACGTTAACTCTGATTTTTTTCTTCACAGATGCTGCTAGACCTGCTGAGATTTTCCAGCAACTTCTGTTTTGGTGTTGAAGGAGGAACTTCTACCTTTTGGCGAGTGTGTTAGCTATAGTAGGGAGTACAACAACAGAGGCACAGCAGACACAGAAGAGGAATGTGGAACCTTCCCTGCCTGTAATCCTGAAGAACCAACCAATGCCTTCCTGAGTGTGTGCAGGGAGAGGATGATCAATGTGAGAATGGAAATGTTTTATATCATGTTTCAGAGCAGGGAAACATTCAGCTATCTCAGTGGTTCTCTGCAATAGGACCTGAGACAATGATGGTTTAGATGCTGCGATGCCTCTCAAGGTAACCAGTGCACTCAGTCTCTCGCTCAGTCTTTATATGTGTGTGCCATTTCAGTCAGATACTAGTGATGTGTGAAACATCCAGCAGAGTGCAACGAGAACACACAATCTGCAGATCGTCAAAATTATCTACCAGAGACCTTTCATTAACCCTGTCATGTCCCTGCGAAGATCAGGGAGATGTCCAACACATTCCAAACGATTCCTGATTAACTGAAAGTGTTTACGACTATCAATGGAACCATATTCCACCGATGAACCTGTTTCATAACCTACTGATTGAATGGCGTGAGCATTTACCCATCCAAAGGACGTGAATGTGAATTTTAATCGCTGGGGAAGTGTTATTGATGGATTCAGCTTCAAGAACTCGATGGGGTGATGAGAGTTGTCCACAAAAAAATGCAGCGAATATCACGATGCCAAAAGCAGCAATGCCACACAGCTGCCCAGGGAAGTGGGAGAAGTGGATACGATAGCAATATCTAACAGGCATTTAGACAAACACATGAATAGGCAGGGAAGAAGAATATGGAGCACATGCAGGCAGATGGGATTCATTTAGAATGGCATCATGGTGGGCCGAAGGGCCTGTTCCTATGCTGTACTGTTCTATAATGCATCACAAAAATAAACATTCTGAATTGCAATGGAACAGTTTGTGGTTAAAAACCCTCAGTTATGTAACAATTAAAGAAAGATGACAGACAATGAACATATGATATGCACCCTTCTGAAAAAAGGATGGAGAGGGCCTAGGTAGGGGATTTCTAACTCCTTCACTATCTTCCTCCATACCCATGACGTAACATCCACTTCAGAGCACATCCTGCAGCACACAGATTCTGTTCTGGGTTGAGACAGGGTGGCATAATGGCTCAGTGGTTAGCACTGCTGCCTCCCAGCAGCAGGGACCCAGCTTCAATTCCCACCCTCAGGCAGCTGTCTGTGTGGAGTTTGCACATTCTCCCTGTGTCTGTGTGGGTTTCCTCCAGGTGCACCTAGAATCCAAAGACATGCAGGTTAGGTGGACTGGTTGTGCTAAATTGCCCAGAGTGTTCAGGGACATGCAGGCTAGATGGACTAGCTGTTGGAAATGCAGGATTACAGAGATGTTGGGGGTGGGTTAGATCTAAGTAGGATGCTCTTTTGGAGGGCCAATGGGGATTTGATGAGCTGAATAGTCTGCTTCCACATTGTTGGGATTCTATCAGTTCAGCAACTGGTTCTTTCCCGTGACCCTCAGGTTTGAGCAGATTTCAGTCGATTATTGCAAACGCTGGCAAATACCTGCCTGTAATTCCCTCACAGCTTGCCCCAGGTCAGAACATCACTAACAGCAGTGATCACTCATTAACTTGCTGTTACTCAGAAGGCAAGCGGTCGCAGTCTGTTCCCAGAAACAAAAGCAGCTTTTTGTTTGTTTGTTTCCTCTTCATTTTTGCAGGTGCTGAATAAAAGTGAATATTTTCAATGGGCTGACGTCTTTTCAGGATGGGACAGTCCCACATTGAACAATGAGAAGATGCTGGGCTATACTGGGCACTGGGAACAGAGTAATTCTCCCTGTGACAGAGCCTCTGAGATGGGATGATGGTAAGAATGAGCAACTGGTGTAATTTGGTTCTCCAATAGCAAGACCGTGCAGTTACATTTACAATGAATTGCCACCTGTGTGCTTGGCGGAGTGTTTCATTTTGGTTCCTCTTCCACAGTGGGCACAGTGTTTGGGGGGTGGGGTGGGGGGGCGGGCAGGTCCTGACTGGCAGCACTTGACCTGATACACAACTGGGCTGTGACACCAGGAATTCAAGGAGGTCCCACAGTGGTGAATACATCTCCTCTTGTCAGGGGAAGATAGCATGAGTTGGGTGCCATTGAAGCATCTACCAAGACGAACACTACAATAAAACCCATCGGGTCTCATGGAGAGAGGAACCCTCATGAAATTGACACTTTGCCAATCTCTGGTAAAATTCAGCCCTGTGAAATGTTCTGTTGTTAACTCGGTATGATTAATCATTCATCTGAAAGTGATTTTTCCGATTCCCATTTACCACTGTGATGGTTCTAATCCCTTCATGTTGAGAGGACGTGTTCAATGCATTTTGAATTTGGTTGTTGTGCTATGTGAGCTGACAATGGTTCAGATGCATGATTGCTTACAACTCAATGTACACTGTTAGATATCGACAAAGCTTTTATGCAAATAGTTGAAACACTGTTGTCATGAAATGAGTCATTTATGAACTGTGTATCCAATCCATTCATGCAGATAAAACAGGCATTGCTAAAAATACAACCGTCAGTTCCATTATCTAGCCTCAATGCAATGTCAGGAGCAAATGAGATTCAGGAAGTGTTTACCTGCTCCCTCTCTGTGGTGAATTTCTAACAATAGGATATTGCAGAAGTTAACAAGAATAGTTCCAGTCAGCCTCAAAGTGAAGGTGCAATGATTAAGTGAACCACTGGAGTGCAGTGTAAGCTCCTTTTAAATGATGTTCAGTCCAAGAAGCTCTCTTCCACACTTGACTTCAACGCTGCTGAAGACTCATCTAGACTCAAAACATTAGCTTGCTCTCTCTCCACAGCTGCTGTCTGACCGGCTATGATCTCCAGCACTTTTTTGTTTTCAGAGCAGATTCCAGCTTCTGCAGTAATTTGTTCCTACTGTATGTCTGCCTGATTCTATACAATTTGGAAAGATTAGGTTTCCACAGCAAGAAATGTAATCCGATATTGGCCACTTTTCAGCCTGTTTCGTGCTATTGCATTAAGCACTCTGCTCCATTGACTAAAAGGAGCTCCATTGTAGAGTTCTGGAGTGTGAAAAGTTGCAAGATTTGACAGTTAAACAAAGAACTAAATAACTGTTTCCATTCAAAGTCATTACTGAACACTTTAAGGATAATGTGAGATTGAGTGGAGGAATGATCACTGTTCCCTAATGTAAAGGCACTTGCTGAGTGAGCAGACCTGGACACTCCAGTTTAGAATCAGTATTGCCGGGCCAGCTAAACTCAACACGGCTAGGAGCTGAGATTCTAAGTTCTCCGGAGTTGAGAAATAAGGAAACAATCAGGATTTATACCTCTGACCACTGTCCAATGGCTTCTGTTGGGAAATGCATGTGGAGACGTTAAATGGATTGTGCTCCACTGCAATGTGACCTACATTTTAAAACCACAGGAGCCCTACAGTGTGGAAGGAGGCCATATACAGCACTGGTGCCCCATTACCACCACTGCAACATGTTCATAACATGCTCAAGCTTCTACTGCTGTTACACGATGAATTCTCATACAGGCACAACCAGCCCTCGTACAGACTCTGTCTGAAAGTGGTCAGCCCCTCATCCCATCAGCCCCTCCTTCACCCTTTGAGGAAGAAGGCACGGATCCCGCGGAAGATACATTGGCAAGGCTGCCTGCTGCACCAGCTCTGACGCCAACACCTCGATTAGATACAGGAGCACGTCGCTGCCATCTCTCTGTTGCTGGGCAAGGGTAAAACCAGCCCAGATCACTGGCACTCAGAGGACTGCCAGAGACCAGGCATCTGCTCGTCCACAAACAACTGATGACGCCATGATGTCAGTCATTGATTGGTTTATTCAAATGTACAGATGCAGTCAGAGTAACAGCAGGCAAGTTTCTCCAGACTGAAGAATGGAGGAATCAAACAATGTTATCAGTTGAGGTAGGCAATGGCGTAGTAGTATTATTGCTAGTTTATGAATCCAGAGACACGGTAATGTTCTGGGGACCTAGGTTCAAATCCTGTGATGGCCAGACGGTAGAATTTGAATTCAATAATAATCTAGAGAGAAGAGTTTGATTGTTAGAGGAAAAACCTATCTGCTTCATGAATGTCTTTCAGAGAAGAAAATCTACCATTCTTACCTGGTCTGGTCTACATGTGACTTCAGAACCCCAGCAATGTGGTTGACTCTTAATTGTCCCCCAGGCAATAAATGCTGGCCAGGCCAGAGATGCCCTCATCCCATGAATGAATAATTTTTTAAAAAGTCCCATGCTGCATCTGGGTGTCTCCATGGTTAGGTCACTGTAGAGAGTCAGTTCCAGGAGAACACTCAGTGGCTGTTGGAAATGTACACAGACTTGTCGTCCATCACTTCAGCCACTGGTATGTAGAATCAATGGCAAGGCAAGAAGGAAGATAAGTGATCTTGACCTTACTCCAGGTGCCCCTTCCTCCCTCAGAGGCAAGGGAATACCAGGAGGTACCCAACCAGAGGAAGAATCTGAGATAGATCCCAACAATTTCCTTTCAGGGCACAATGGAGGTTCCTCCAGGCTCCTCCATTTCCCCCTTGACAATGGATCCCGTAACCCTGTGGAAGTTGCAGATGAAGAGGGTATGCCTGCATCTGAACACACTCAACGTGATTGGTTAGAGGACCCACAAACTCCACCAGTGCCATCTGCCCAAACCTTCCAAGCCAAGACGCTCCGCTACAGAGCAAGCTCCCTCCGTCCTAGCTGCAGAGCCTAGGAACTGCACCTAGACACAGGAGGAGAGAAAGAAAATCTAAAATACTCTGACAGCACTTCAGTTTCACAGGCATCACTTCTTTGTACCTACCAACATCTGTAAAGTTATATATGCACTTTCAATCAATACCTGTCTGATTGATTTGATGCGGAGATGCCAGCGTTGGACTGGGGTGGACAACGTCAGAAGTCACATGACACTCATGTGACTTGGCCAATGTTATCTACCTCGTACACTGCAGGAAAGGATACCCTGAGGCATGGTATATCAGTGAGATCCTGGAGGTGCTACAACAACGGGTTAATGGACACCATGCAACCATCGCCAGGCAGGAGTGTTCCCTCCCAGTCAAGGACATTCAGCCTCTGATCTTCAAGTACCTTCGAGATACACAACAACACAGAATCACCGAGCAGAAACTGAAGCCAAGTTCCATACCCACAAGATCAATTGTGATCTTAGGTTCATGTCATACTACGTGTAACCCTGCCATACTGTTCTGTGTAAAATCTTCTGCACTGTCCTGTTTTGACACCATCACCTTGATAACTTGTTATTATCTCTCTACCTCAATTAGTTTGTACAGTTTCAGATTATTTATTACCTTGGTTAGACTCTCGTCATACGACACTTACAGCTGTCATGTCATTCCAGCCATTTGGTTTGTCTCTAGCACCATGATATTTTTAACTCTTCGTAATTACTTGGAACATAGGTCATCCTAGGGGAGAACATAGGGGCGGCACGGTGATTCAGTGGTTAGCATTGCTGCCTCACAGCACCAGGGACCTGGGTTCAATTCCACCCTCGGGCAACTACCTGTGTGGGGTTTGCACATTCTCCCTGTGTCTGCATGGGTTTCCTCCGGGTGCTCTAGTTTCCACCCACAGTCCAAAGATGTACAGGCTAGGTGGATTGACCATGCTAAATTGCCCATAGTGTTCAGGGATGTACAGATTAGGTGGGATATGGCAATATGCATCTGGGTGGGACACTGAGGGTCAGCATGGACTTGTTGGGCTGAAGGGCCTGTTTCCACACTGTAGGGATTCTATAAAATCCCTTCACCTGTTGAAGTTTTACTCATGCCATTTGACACTTTTGATCACATGCAAAGACTGGTTATTCAGTCTGTCAATACACCATTCACACCATTTGTATTTATCTTTCGTCACTTAATTACCTGGACTATTTTACCATTATTTCTCTACATAAAAATTCTGAGCCTGTGTGCTTCCCTCCACTTCACTTGTTGGAGGAGCAGCACTCCAAAATGTTGTGATTTCAAATAAACCTGCTGGACTATAACCTGGTGCAGTGTGACTTCTGACTTGTCTGATTGGCTGCCATTGTAGCTGTCAAACTGGGCTCAGTGTCTACCATATCAGAGTTAATCACCCTCTTAAACATCCCAAGGAGAATAGAAGTTATACTGGCGAGGTATTACTCACCTCTGAAAAGCATCTTGGAGAGCACCAGGTTTCACCAATCCTTCAAACTTGCGTCCACGAGTGCGGTCAAAACTTAGCACCTTGATGAAGAGATTACGGAAGGTCAATTTACAGGGACCGCTTTGTAATAGGGCCTTGCTCCCAGTCATGTTGCACACACATGGCCACTGTGCGTGTCTGCTCGTGTGTGAGTCTGTATGTGACAGACAACATGAATATTCATGAGTGTTTGCTTGTCTCAGGTTAGATGTTCATTCTATCAATGTGTCTTATATTGAAGCATATCCTCGATTCAGGGTGGTTGATGTCTAATGCTACATTAACACCCAAACTCTGTCTAATACAAACAAGTCCACCCTGTCCTCATAGACAAAAAAAAAGACCTGCTGATGCACAGTGAAACCTGGGAAAACTGCACACTACATAGAAAGAAGGTGAGATTAGTTAATAGTGAGATTAAATGCTTGCTGCTGGCAACTAAGATGCTCATTGAGCCAGTTGAAAATCAAACTTTTTTTTCTTGACATTGAGGGTCTGATTTCTTTACATCTCACTACATTTTCCCATATTTCTCGCCATTACCCACTTCCCTCAGGAGCTGAGGAAAATTCTGTGATGTATCTGTCTCTCTCCACAGATGTTGCCAGGTTGTTTCTTCTGTGTTGTTTTTGTTTTTTTACCATTTCAGATTTCCAGCATTTGCAGTCTTTGGTTTTTGTTTTAGAATGAAGTTTCGTATTTGATCAGACAGTAACAGTGAGAAAATCCTAGCCTCCCATGATGCAGCATTCATGAAAGAAGCAGAGAAGCTTTAAATAGCACATGTGCTGTTTTGAACATCAGAATCTTAAAGTATTCCATGAACATCTGGGTTGCCTAGCGTTGCCAAGATGATTGAAGATTTCGTAGGCCGAGTGTTGTTGCTATACAGCCAGCAACAATGGAATGACAGATATATTCTACAGAGAGAATTTACACCCTGAATCTGTAACCACAGAATGGAATTTGTTGCTAAATGCATGCCTTCCCAGCTATCCTATTTACAACACCCACTCAACTCTTGAAATTGTGGAGATTTCATTGCTTAATTCTGCATAATTTGTACCAGTGTAGTTTATTGAGATTATGCTTTCCTCATTAATTACTTGCAGACCTGATTGCTTATTGCTTATTTCAGTCCATAGCCAAATTAATGTTAATGTCCTTTGTGATACACAAGACATTTTGAGATTTGTTCCAGAATTTACAAGCCTTGAAGGGCTTCCCACTTTCTGCTCCAAGTTTTGTTGCCGGTTTGCTATCTAGTCCTCGTACAGGTGCCAGTGGAGGATTCTACAGCAATGCTGTCTCTGGAGAGAAAGACAGACCCGAAATGCTAAACATGTGAGACAACCTTCCTCACAAAGCTTACAGACAATCATTTGTAACAGGCAATGCCCAGTAGTTTCCAAGTTATCATTCACCCATTTAGTCTCTACATAGAAAGTTACAAGGGAATCTCGTGAGCTTTATTGGCAACAATGAGCAGTGCAGTCAGATTCCATTATCTACAAATTCAAAGGCCTTAGGTAAAGATAAATTAGTACTTCAGGAACTGCCGTTGGTTTTACCAACAAATATGTTTGATCCATGCAAATATCCAACTCTTTATTTATGCAAAAAGGCTATTTGCTGCATGTTTCTTTACTTGCCCCCGTGTCTACCTCTCCAGGTTGGACTATGTAATGAGATGGACCAAAGCTAGGTATATGGAGTTAGGGCACAGATCAGCCATGATCTCATTGAATAGTGGAACAGGCTCGAGGGGCTGAATGGCCTACTCCTGCTCCTATATTGTTATGTAATAGATTTAATGTCATTAGAATGAAAAACTGAAATGGTTATTTTTCTCATTATGACTTTCGACCAAGCAATTTTCTATCAGAGGACTTTGGATTTGATTCGCAAATAGCTGCTTCAGATTATTACTTGCATTTTAAGGGAGCGGTACCTCTTCTCTAAGTAGCTTCTGGGAGCCAGGATGAAAATAGGAAATGCTGATGTCTTTGTTGTGGGCACTTTGTTTTCTTATACATTCATGGGATGAGGGTGTCGCTGGTTAGGTCGGCATGCATTGCCCATCCCTAATTGCCCAGAGGGCAGTTAAGAGTCAACCACATTGCTGTGGTGTGGAGTCACATGTAGGCCAGACCAGGTAAGGATGGCAGTTTCTTCCCTGAAGGACACTAATGGACCAGATGGATTTTTCCTGGTGATCGACACTGGATTTGTGGTCATCATTAGTCTCTCAATTCCAAATACTTCATTGAATCCAAACTCCAACATCTGCCATGGCAGATTCAACCTGTTCCCTGGCCAACCTTCTCAGAAGCTCAGCACAAGTTGGAAGAATGACACCTCATTTGTCACTTGGGGACCCTGTAGCCCTCTGGACTCAATATCGAGTTCAATAATTTCAGGGCCTGAACTCTCCCATTTTGGACCCCAAAACCCCACATATCAGGCCTTGTTACCACATAGTCTGCCATTATGCACTACCTATTGTTAGCCATTAACAGTCTCCATTAACAGCTATTCACTCTCCTAACCAAGATTGTTATCCACTCCCTTGGTCTGTCCAAATACTCTTCTCTCTCTTTGGGCTCTATCCCCACCTAACGTTTACTCCTTACCCCTCCCACACCCAATCTTCTATATATAAACTGACATTGTCCTAGCTACCATCAGGTCTGAGGAAAGGTCAGTGGACACAAAACATTAACTCTGGTCTCTTTGCACGGATGCTGCCAGACTTGCTGAGTTTTTCCAGCAACATCTGTTTTTGTCTCTGGATTCATAATCTCGTGGTAATACTACTGGGCTATTGCCTCCCCAGGATCTCATAATATTGAGTGTTTTTCCAGGGAAGTGATGAATCACACCATTTTTATTACAGCTGTGAGGAAATGTA